ATAAATACCATTGTATAATAAAGTTTTTTTATTTTTTTTTTTTTTTTTTTTAAACAATCTTTCGTATCTCTCGCGTAAGGTTACTCGAAACTTTCTCATTTTCTGTCTTTCCGTCAGATTATAGAATGAGTTCCACACGAATGGGTTACACGTTTTTCTTACTACGCTCAAATCAGCATTCTTGCGACCAGTGAGTACCATATGATGAGAACGCAGAAAAGGTAAGCAGAAAATCAACTGAGAGAAACTAAATCGATCGGAGGCAACGAGGCGGGGAGTGTGTGGAGGGACGAATATGGACGCGATTTTTGGATTTTCGGTTTTCTCCTTTTTTTTTTTTCCTCTGCCGAAATTCGCTCTCGCGTCTCTTCTTTCGTTATCGATCACTGCTACCTTCGCTGGAAAAAAATGCCCCGGGTTACATCTGGAACGGCGACCACCTCACGACTCTCCGCGAGATCTGTCTCAATCACTCGACGACGCCACGTCGTTTCTGCCTGCAAGTTTCGAACGATCGAACGATCTCGGTTATTATAAAAAAAAGAAAAGAAAAGAAAAGAAAAAACACGCGGATCTCGCGGTAGAGTCAAGGGTCTCGCGTTCGAAAAATGTTCAACAGAGAGAAAATAATTGTCTCCGTACGGTTGGTCCACTGCGGATGTTGTTGCTCGCGAGGATGGCCACCTAAATGGGAAGTAGAGTAAATGAGATTAACAAAAGAGCTAGCTGCCACTGGTGAAGGGAGTACGAGTTCCTAGAAGGTTGGTTATCTGGCGATACTGGCGATTACCGGAGCTCTAGCTGCCCTATACAAACACAATCGCATAATAAAAAGCGCCAAAAACTCGAACTGTGTACACATTGGAGAGAAGCTATTCTGTTTTATATCCGGCAGGTGTGAAAGAGGAGAGTGACCTTTCGTTGACGAGATTGTCCCGATAAGGATCACGAGGTCTTCTCTTCATGATATCCGATTCCGCATGCTCGTACGCCAAGGATATCGCTGGCACCTGACAATTCATCACACATGTTCTTTCAAATTATCACCAAATTGTAAACCACCCATTTGTAAATCGTTCGTTCCGCGTCGACGAGCGGAACGAATTGTTATCATTGTTCCACAGGCAGAGAGTGGAGTAATACAAAGAGAAAGCAACGCTGAAAAATCATCGATCAAATGCAGAAATGCGAATGTCAACGACACCTCGATCTGGAAAACTGGTCGTCGAAACACGTCGAGGAGTCGTTGGTATTCGAACGTTTCGCGGTATATGTTGGTTCGTTTGCGTTTCGAGCACGTCTGATCGTTGTCAGAGGTGATCGAAACGTGGAGTATGGTAATGGACGTGCGACTCACCATGTCCGTTCCCAAGTCGATGCAGAGAATAGTGACGGTACCGAGAGGCAGAGGGATGTCGCAAAGGATGAACGCCAGGAAGGGTGAGATCTCGGGTATGTTCGAGGTGAGGGTGTACGCGATGGATTTCTTCAGGTTGTCGAAGATCAATCGACCCTCCTCGACACCGGTCACGATCGAGGCGAAGTTGTCATCGAGCAGAATCATGTCGGCCGCCTGCTTGGACACGTCCGAACCAGCGATACCCATTGCTACACCGATGTCGGCCTTCTTCAACGCGGGAGAATCGTTCACACCGTCACCTGAAATCACGTCCGAAATTATAATTTTGGTACGCTCGTTGCGAGAGATACTGAATTCTTAAGAAGAAACAAAAACTGAGAATTTATAATAAGGCATGCTCGTTGCGAGAGATACTGAATTCTTAAGAAGAAACAAAAACTGAGAATTTATAATAAGGTTGCGAGAGATACTGAATTTTTAAGAAGAAACAAAAATTGAGAATTTATAATATATATATATCTATGATATATTTGGTACACTAGAGTGTGTGTGTGTGTGTGTGTGTGTGAATAACTGGACAGCTTCTTTCTTTAACATTTTTGCTATATACAGAGTCTTCTTTATCAATATCTATTCACTCTCATTTGAACTGTACTTTTATAATTCAGAGATATAATTTATAATACAATTAAGTATCAATTTGGAAACGTTCAGGATCAAAGATTTTACAGGAATTTACTGAACTAAAGAAGATAATATGTATCATCTTATACTAATATTTGTAAAGAAGCAATATTAGCAAAATTAAAAGGATACTCGACGATTGTGAAAGAGGATTCCAAATTAATTTTGTTCGTTCAACAGACATCGAGTATAACTCGAGCATAGCAGAGAGATTACAAGAGAGATTACTGTGTTATATGAAGACGCATCGAGATATTATAAACAAACGTTTGCACGTTATAAATCCTTCAAAGAGTATCTGGCCAAGCGCAGCGCCAGAGTCAACGTGCTCTCCTCAAGTTCAATTCAGAGCGGATTGAGAGGATAAGAGGTTCAAGAAGTAGCAGCAGCGTACCGGTTACAGCGACGATAGCACCCATTCGCTGGCAGCCTTCGACGATGATGAGCTTCTGCTGTGGCGAGGTACGGGCGAACACAATTTCGGTGTGGTACCTGAGGATCTCGTCCAGTTGGTCGGAGTTCAGTTCCCTGAGTTCGGTTCCGTGGATGACGGCGGCTTTCGCCTCGCGTGGATTGACTTCGGATACCGGGATATTCAACCGTTGAGCAATGTCCTCGACGGTCTCGTTACCTGATCAGACAATATCACTGTCAGCCTACGAAGCTCAAAAAGATCTCCCAAAGGAGGAGCTTTCATTCAAACAAAAGTGGTAATAACCTCTTTGATATAAACTTAACAATCTTCCTTAATAATCTCAAGGAATTAATATGCAGTAGAATGTGAATATTTTGTGAATAGCTAATGTTCAGTCGTTGTGACAAAAATGTCTGCTAGTAAGTTTATATCACTTTGATATAAACCTTGGAGAATTGACGTACAGGGTAGGATATCAATTTTTCCTTCTTTGTGTGAATTTTCATTTTAAAAATAGCTCAACGTCCAATCGTTGCGGCAAGATGTAGATACTAGTAAGTATACTTCTCTCCCGTATAAAGCTTAAAAAAAGTAATGTACAATGGACGCATGAATTTTTACTTATTTATGTGAATGTTCGTTTTACGAATAGCCCAACGTCCGATCGTTGCTAAATAAAATGTCTGCTGGTGAGTGCATGTCTTCTCCATACAAAGCTTCAAATAGCAACGTACGTTGAGAATATGAATTTTTACTTGTCTATTTCCTTCTCTTCTATACGTTGTGCTCAGTTTACTGCTAGCAAGTAACGTATTGATCTCTTTGACAGAAATTCCTTCAAGAACTAATGTACAACTCACGAATAGCTTAAACGTCCAATCGCTGCAATAAGATGTCTGCTGGTAAGTGGCAGACGTTATAATAATAATAATAATAATAATGACAGATGGAATAAAGCAAGGGAGCTAACCTTCAGAGATGATGCCGACAGATTTGGCAATGGCTTTGGCAGTGATCGGATGGTCACCGGTTACCATGATGACCTTGATGCCGGCGGAACGGCACTTGGCGACCGCGTCGGGCACCGCAGCCCTCGGCGGGTCGATCATAGACATCAGGCCGACGAAGCGGAGCCCGTCGACCGGGAAGTTCGGGTCGTCGCAGTTGAACTTGAAGCCGATCGGGAACTTGTCGGACGGCAGTGTGAAGTCGCAGAAGCCGAGCACACGTTCACCAAGGCCACCGAGCTCCAGGTAAGCGTTGTTGAACGCCTCCTTCATCTCTTCGTCGAGCACCTTCTCCTTACCGCCGATGAAGATGGTGGAGCAACGATCGAGGATCCTCTCGGGCGCGCCCTTCATCACGAGAAGGTGTCGCGGATCGTCCGGATTGTCCGATTCGTGGATAGAGACCTGATACTTGTTGGTTGAGTTGAACGGTATCTCGCAGACTTTCTTGTTACGTTTCCTGATGCCCATCACGTCGCCGAGGGCGAGCTCCATGCACTTCAACAGAGCGGCTTCGGACGCGTCGCCGTTCACTTCCCTCTTCAGTATCGGCTTGTCATCCTGGCCGATCTTGAACTCGGCACGGTTGCACAGCGTGGCGATTTTCGCGAGCGCCTTGAACCCAGGGCTGGTACGGTCGTACTGAAGCCCCGACTGATCCTCCGTCGTGTCCGCCTCGATGATCTGATTGTCGAACCACATGTGAGCAACGGTCATACGATTCTGCGTGAGCGTGCCGGTCTTGTCCGAGCAGATGGTCGACGTTGAGCCCAATGTCTCGACAGCCTCCAGATTTTTAACCAGGCAATTCTTCGACGCCATACGCTTGGCGGTTAGCGTGAGGCAGACGGTCACCGTCGCGAGCAGACCCTCCGGTACGTTAGCCACGATAATACCGATCAAGAAGATGACAGCGTCGAGCCAATGGTAACCGAGAATGAACGCGATTACGAAGAACGTGACACCGAGGAATACGGCAACACCAGTGATCAAGTGGATGAAATGGTGTATCTCTTTAGCGATCGGTGTCTCGCCGGTGTCAAGGCCGGATGCCAGGCCAGCAATCCTTCCCATTACTGTCTGATCGCCACAGCAGATCACCACACCCTTCGCGGTGCCTTCAACGGCATTCGTCGAGAAGAACGCGAGGTTTTTCGTCTCTAACGGGTTCTCGTTCGTGAACTCTGGAGACCTCGATTGGGGCTCGGATTCACCGGTCAGCGAGCTATTATCCACTTTGAATCCCCTGGACTCGATGATGCGAATGTCGGCCGGTATACGATCGCCGAACTTCACGTCCACTACGTCGCCCAGTACCAATTCCTCCGCCTTCAGCGTCAGCTTCTCGCCCTCCCTGATCACCGTCGCGATCTGCGGTACCATGTTCTTGAACGATTCCATGATCTTGCTGGACTTGCTCTCCTGGTAATACGAGAATATGCCAGTCACTATGACGACCGCCGCCAACACGATGCCCAGGTACAGGTTGTCGTCGTTCGGGTCCTCGCTGGTTGATGCTTGGATCGAGTACGCGATGAAACAGAGGATCGCGCCGATCCACAACAGTAACGCGAAACCGCCGAACAGATTTTTACAGAATTTCACCCATTCCGGCGTTTGTTTCGGCGGTGTCAGCGAGTTCGGACCGTCCCTCTCCAGATTCTCTTTTGCCTTCGCATGGCTGAGGCCCTGAAACAACCACGAATCCCTCGATTAAGGTGGCATTCTGCTAATCCAGGCTTAAAAAAGAATCAATCTTTTTTTTCTTTTTTTTAAATATTCCCGCAAAGCTTTCGAAAATGAAAGCTTTTCGTAAAATTAGCAAAGTGTTTAGATGTTTAAAGGGAACGTAAGTATGAATATTTTCTGTCACAACGGGTGACAGAAACTTCAAGTGTGTTTTTCTCAAAAAATATTTTATTTTATAATATTATTATTTATATTATTTATTTTTGCATTATTATTATTATTTTATAATATTTTATGTTTTGTACTGCTCGATTGATTGTAAGTATGAATATTTCTGTACAAACTTCAAGT